CATGTTGTGCAGAGCTGCACACGCCCTGACTGTTTGACATCCTTTTTTTTTGGGGGGGGGGGGTGCTAAGGCCTCTAGACACCACCGTCTGCACTTGAGCAGGCCAATGACATGCTGCTCAACTGGGCGTGCTTGAAATTGGACATCACTGTTCTGCATTTCCTCCGCGAGCTCTGCAGGCTGGGACAGGGAGTGAGGAGCCACTGTCCCCTGCAGGTTAAAACAGGGAGGGATTATACATCATGAACGGCTTGAATAGATAGATTTGTTATTAGATTAGCAAGAAGGCAGACACCCCGGCCTGCACATGCACGCAACCCCCCCCACACACACACACACTTCTCTGTGCCAGGTTAAAAGGCTCATGTGTCTGGCCAGGCCCTCGTTCCACCACATTCATCAGGACCAAGTTTGAGTCACATGCGACTTGAATTGTTTATTGTGTGCACTTGTTATCTGTTGCATCTGATTTAGCCCATTTAGCAATATGACTGCACTCAATTGCTGCAGATTACATTTGGGAAAGCAGACATTGCTGCAGATTTCCTTTTAATGTTGACCCACTGTTCTCCCAGTGTGAAGGCTCTTGATGTATCAAGGTTTTAGGTCAGAAACACAACGGTTTTCACAGCTGTCAAATTTTAAATACACATCGACTTTTAAGTTGGGAAGACCTAATAAAATATAGTAACTTTTTGTTACTAGATATTACACAACACTGCTCTCTACCTGGCCTTAGGGGAGGGGACTGGATCACTCCCGCTCAAAGAAGTGATTCTCTGTTCTCTGTTCAGCATCTGAAGAATGGAATCTGCCAATGCAGATAAGAGAAGCAAACACCACGTTCTTTTACTGGTCAGCTGAAGAAATGGCTTATTGACAATCAGATACGTGCACATTAGTCTGCCTGCAGTTTGTCTTCAGTTTTTGATTTTTACTTGCCGTGCTTTGTCTCCTTTGTTGTGTTGTTACTTATTGTTATGCATTGTACCTGTCTGAATATTAGTCTGTATATATTATCTAGAGCGGGGACAACAAATTCAAATTAGCCTGTTGAGCTTACTCTGGCTCATTTACAGTCATTTGGCTGTTGATTTGAGAATTGTCCGTGTCAAATAAATGAAATGAAATGACTGTTCAGATTAATAATTCCATCCTTATTACACTCAGTGGTCAGTATTTGTGTTTGTATCAGGGTATGGGGTCTAATAGATGCATACCCAGAGGTTATAAATGAGGCCCCTGCTCAGTGCACACATCATAGCTGGCTTTGTGGTATTAAGCTATTGTAGCTTTTCATGCACTGTTAAAGAGTAGTACATGGAAATAAACTCCACAACCCGATGGACAAATACAAGGTTCACCAGCAGCCTCTGCCTCCTCTCTGCAGGCTTAGGGCCCGGTCACACTTACACAAATGTTTCATCACCAAACCACTGCCTCCCGTAACTTCCAGCCAATCATTAGTTCGACAAAAAAGGATATTTGCTTTGTATTTGTGTATTTGTGACCTCGCCCTTACTGACGTTTGATGGCAGGTCAGATGATTTGATTGGCTAGATCATGTGCTCGAGTATTTGTTTAGACCTCACTTGACTGGCTGGTGCCTGTGCTGGCGCCCTCATAACACAAGCAGAGCGAAGCAACAGAACCACAATCAGCACGCAACACATTGTCACCAGTTTATGCTTATGGGATGCCACACATTCCATCAGTCCAATCCAGAAATGTATCTCATATAAACTAGAAGGGGGCACAGTACTTCCTGGTTTGAATTCCAGGTAAGTCTTTCTGTGTCTACTCTGGCTTCCCCACTGCGGAGATCACGTGACTTTCTTTACAACACACAGACACCATTGTCAGCTCTTATCACCACAAACTCTTTAGACAACTTTGTCGGTGTCTTCTACATGTGTGACACCTCTTTTTCACCGGGATTAGTTTTTTTTTTCATTTTTGCATCTGCTGCGTGTGCTGCAAATCCAGCGGGGGGGGGGGGGGGCTCTGCTGCGTCCTCACGTCAGATATTCCTGAAATTCTACGGACTTTATACTTGAGGGCCAATCACTCGGACATCTGTGTTCACACAAGCACCTCCTCTGGAGAAAATACAGAGCGTCTGTGGAGTTCAGTGCATGTGCGAAAGCAGCTTTAAGTGACATTAAAGTGTGAATGGTTGTCGGTGTCTCAGCTTGGATTGGCTCCAGCTCCCCGCAGCCCTCAAAGGATGAGCAGTATAAATAATAGATGGATGAAAAAAGACATTTTTTTTAAATGATCCAACAGAAAGAGACAAACATAGAAAACATAACGACCTTGGCAGAAGTAATAATACCTGGGAGTTAATGGGAAGCTGTGTCGTTGCATCCAAGGTTTTCACATTGTGCCAAGAAAACACAAACAGGCTCAGACACTTCTCCTGTAATATCCAGAATTGTCTCTTTAAGAAAAATCACCTTGGTGCAAAATGTGGCCTTTGCCCCTTAATTCAACTGCTAAACTTCCAGACAGTACACATGACACGTTTGAATGCTTCTGGACAATCACTAGAGACAGACACACAGTGAAATTTCAGGGTTAGAATTTAAGAGCAGTGAAACCTCAAATTAAAATTACTCTGCAACACATCTGTTATCAATGTCCAACTCAAAGTTATAAGGCAGAGGAACTTAAGTCCTGAGACTCTAGCAGTTGCATTGGTGTAACAGGTAGAAGGTTAAACTGTCACTGACTGCTGGGTTTGTGTTCAGACCGTTCAGACACACTGCCCTGGGTTTGTCTGGCTCTCAGGAAGACATGAGAGCAGCAGAGTGTCAGCCCCACTCTGTGGCCACATAGGGACATTACATCTGGACTATAAATACAGCTTATCATGTTTTTTAGTTTTTTAGAAAACTGCTCTATTTTTTATATTGACAGTAATAATTTTTTATATTGTAATGGAAAATGTTTTATTCTGTTGTTGAATTATATTGAGACAAATAAGCTGCATTGAAGTTTGGTGTATTGGGTGAAAATATAAAGTATAAACTTTAAATTGAAAACGTTTTTTCAATTGAATCTCCTTTTTTAAACTAAACTATACAATCTTCTTGTAGTTGAGGTAGTTTTTTTCTATAGTTTGGATAAAATACCTCCAGTTTGTTTGAAATTTTGGTCAGATCTAAGTGCAGGATTCTTTCTTTTTTAATCCAAAATTGCATTTGTCTGAGTGGGTTTTACAAGTTGCACAAGACTAAAGAATGCAATAAGTCTCAGGAAGTGTAAAAGATTAAGAATCCCACTTATCAAAGATGGCAAAAGAATATGTATAACCTCAGGCTGCAAACATATTCAAAGACAGAAGAATCTGACCCTAAGAATGGTGATGATTTTATAGATTTTATACTTTTTCATTAACTGAAACTGAATGAGCTGTGTGTGTGTGGTTGACATACAAAATGTGAAATGATTTAACTGCTGTTATTTGTTTCATACATTGCATGTGAGCTACTTCATAAGGTCTGTTAGCAATCAACAAAATCTTTAGATGTAAGGTCATAACTTTTAAAATGAAAGCTCTGTAATTCAGCTAAATACAAAGCACTGTATACCAACATTGCGCTTTTGCTTTGCAAACTAACTGCATGAGGAAGAGGAAGTGAATTCTGAAGTGAATTCTGGGAAAGTTGCTGCGATGACAGAGATCAGCGTTATCCCCTTGTTTTCGAATGTATTCCTATATTCCTCGTTCACAAACACAAGGTTTAAAAGTTCAGTTCTAATGAAATGCCACAACAGGGATCGTACTAAATATAAATCATTTAATTGTGATAACAATAAAAGGATAATTACGTTAAAATACAGTATGATCATATATAAACACTGGCATGGTTATAATGTACAATTAAAGGGAATGCATTCATGACACTGAAAACAAGACACAATCATCAGAGCATGATGATGGCTGGTACAACTGAAGTTAATGCGTCAGACATCGAGCAACACAACGTTGTGGTTAGAAAGATTGTTGCCACAGATCTGGGAGCAGCGGTACACTTCAACCTGAATCAGTAAAAAAAGACGGAAAAAAACAAGTGTTGCATTGTTCAGTCACTGAGCCATTACACTGTAGGTCCCACATGAGTACGACTGAAAAATAGAAAACATTTGATTGAGTGTGACAGATGATAAAAGCAGAAATGTGAGTGTGCTGCTGCTTAAGGTGAAGTAGCATGAGGGCACCATCCAGACCCTGGACTACCACACTGTGGCCTCGCCACAAATTGCTTCATGTGCCTAAAATAAAAATAAATGCCTGCGCAACAATTTTATAGAACATGTTAGACAATATTTGACAAATGTTTAAGAAGGTCAAACATCTGACAACAATGTTTGATAGACAGAATCCAAATTATATCCATGCATCTCCATCCAACACCTAAACTAAAGTGTGTTTATTCCAAGCAGCTCATTAAAGTAAAGTAGATCATCCAAGTCTCACTGTTTCTTTTGCAATACATTAACATTAGGTTACACTGTGATAAATGTGCGGCTAACTGATAGCAACCAAAACTATCAATAGGATAAACAATTTTCAGCGATACATCAAAAAACAAGGTGACGGGACATGAATAAATATACTGAATACCACAATATTAATAGGAAGGGAATGGTTTTAGTTTTTTAGGCATCTCATTACCGAAACATAACTGACCACAAACCACAAACATGAGGTGGGTGCTGCCCCCTACCTGACCAGAGAAGACACAACAACCTACCAATTCTGTTTCTGTTGCAGTTTTTACATTTGAGTGGTTACGTCGTTGTCTACCAAGGAAAAATCACACATACTTTTGTTTAGATTTTGGATAAAAACTACAAGGACCAAAACAAAGCTTAAAGGATGCAAACCCTACTCAAAATGAATGCTTATGTTGTTCTCTATGCTGATTGTGAAAATACTAACGCTTTCTTCATATCACCTTCGTAATAATGTGCAATGGCTCCAAGTAAGCTTAAAAATGTCTCAAAATGTTAATGCCACTTATGGGAGATTTGTTTTTCGTGTCGCCAATCATAGTTTCTTGCGAGGAGCAGGTCGTGGTGATGGTCAAAACTAATTCAGCACAGACAGGATGCTGCAGTGACTCACTACTACAAACACGGACGTGGCTGGCTGTTTAGGGATGCTAACTTCAATAGAAGCAAAGAAGTGATACAAGAGTTAACATTGGCGTTTATTTCCCTGACAGCTCTTTAGGTAAGGAATGAAGTCTGATGCTGAACTATCGTGTTGGTCCTATTTAGCTACATCCACGCTACATTTTCATTTGAAAACAGCATTTTCAAAAAAGTATTATCTCTGTCCACACAATCGTTCGGCTCCGTATCAGTTTTAATCACTGTCCATACTACCATACCAAAAGACGTATATCTTGTGACCACTCATACACTGGGCATGCGTATGCCCTAATAACTGCTTGTCTCCTACATGATAATTCAAGTTGTGTTCTACACCCAGGCTAGCTGAGGTTAATATTTCTTTTGGAACGTGATAGGCTTTACTGATTCGTCAGGCTCCTATGTCACGACCAAAAGACCCAATCAGCAAGCGGTTGTTTCCAAACACCTCAGACTAAAATGTAGCCCTGCAGTCTTCAAACTAAAACAGGGCCAGCAGCACTTCCAAACTTGGATGCCAGGTGTATCCATAGCAGAGTGAATGCATTTTCAAACAAAAATGTAATAATGTGGATGTAGCCTAATAGATAAGTGAATAGCTGTTAACATTGGCTGTGTAGCGATATTAAAACTTACAAACAGCTACTTAAAGGTCATGCCCGAGTCATTTGTGTACATTCATTTGTGATTTCCTCCACTCATACACCTGCAGGACTTCATACAAACATGGCAAAGTCCTTCAGCTTTTACTTCTCTTCAAAATGTAATTTGTTTGTTCTTTGTCAGTAAAGAGATTTGTATGGTGTTTTCATTTAGAGGGGCTGTAATGGGCTGCCAGGACCACATACAGCTGCATATCCTGGAATAAAAAGAGAAAGATCAACTTGGTTGCTTGCAGTACATATGCAACCACCAGTGAGCTGAGATGACAGCACCTGCAACTCACCTCAGTCTCACTATCTAAGACACAAAGCACAGCAAACTGAGCGAACATTAGTCACCCTCTCTAGTGGCTTCCAGGGGGAAACAATGTGAGCTATGCTGAACGCAAGAAGAACAGGTTCATCTAGATTGACAGATTGTGCTGCAAGAGGTCTCTTCCATTTTAGGACTAACTTAAAGTTAGGCTCAACGTGCATACGGCCTGTCTGAAAGTGCATTCCTTTGTCACGCAAAGCGAGACCAGGAGTGTCGAAACTAAGTACACTTGGAAGCAAAAGCTTCCTCACTGTGTGCCACTTACAGTCACAGTATTCTATCACATGCATATCAAACATTTAGATCACTCAATTGTGTGCAACAAAAGAGTTTTATATTACATTTCAATGTGTTACTTCGTGAAACTGTCAGTGTAACTCCATATTGGTCTTCATACGAGTATGATTTTGTTTTTGGGTTCAGAGGGTTTTTTGTTGTTTCGATGTGTCGCAGACTGGGCGGTGTGCTAATAACGGCTGGCATCGTCATACGAGGTCACGTCCATGTCAAAGAAGTCCTCCAGCTTCCACTGCAGGGTCTCGAATGTGGGCCGGTCCTGTTCGTCCTCCTTCCAGCAGTCCGTCATGATGTCGTACATGATTTTGGGGCAGTTCGGGGGGCACGGCATCCGGTAGCCCTGGGGAATCCTCTGGACCACTTGGTAGTTGGTCATGGCTGAAACAGTGACAGAGGGAAATGATCACTGAGAATAACAGCGACAAATTAACAATCACACTTTTTTTTTATCTTTATGTTCGGTGAATTGTTTCTAAATCATTTATAATGAGACGATAGAGGTGGTACCTGGGTAAGGCATCTGGCCAAATGTCATGATCTCATACAGCAAAATTCCAAAGGACCATATATCCGATTTTATGGTAAACTTGTTGTCATGGATAGCCTCTGGAGCGGTCCACTTCACAGGAAACTTTGTGCCCTCTTTGGCTTCATACACATTCTCATTCTCTTTCTAGTAAKAAAAAAAAAAAAACACAGAGTACACCTTTACATGCAGTAGAGATCCACACTTTCACAATGAAGTGGGATGAAGCTGGATTTAAGAGGAAAATACGTGATGTAATAAAACCTGTGGTTTGGGTTAGGTTAATGTTAGGTTGTATGTTGCATATCAGGATATATATAAATCGATATAGATCAATCAAAAATTTAATGTAAAGGTATTTATTTCATGTACTACACACGTATAAGCTACATGTGATTCATGACAACTATGACACCTGCTACATACAGTTTAAACTAGCACAGTCAAACCCACCATGAAGACCCTGGCAAGGCCAAAATCGGCGATCTTGCAGATGTTGTTCTCGCCCACCAGGACGTTCCTGGCTGCCAGGTCTCTGTGGATGTAGTTCTGTAACTCCAAGAACGCCATGCCTGATGCCACCTGAGCAGCTATCTCGATCTGGTCAGAGATCCCTAGCGTGACGCCTTTGTCCTCTGTAATTGAGGAAGAGACAAAATGAGTCACAGTCCTGGCAGGGAATTTAACAAATACACCAGTAATTAATGCAAATATGATGTGTTGACCAACTTGTACACTTAGGATTTATTCAAACTTTTTTACTTGTAGTGAAAACTTTTTAACTAAGCTTTATCTCAAAACCTTACCAAGCTAAAATCAGTGAAATAATCATTCGTCGACCATCAATCATGTTGGCACATTGCAGATAACCAATGTCAGAGGCATAAGATAACTCTTAGCTGTTGCATGCTGGGGTTTGTATTCTTAACACTCAGCCAAAGATACCATCTCTGTCTGAACAGATTCATAAGCATGACAATGACACACAGCCAGTGAGTGACGTGCACAGTTAAATCGAATGCCAGGAATGGACTGCATGTAACAAAGCTGCAAGTCTAGATTAACAATGTAATGTTGGCTCATCACAAAGGTATTTTTTAGATACAGTGGCGAGAAGTTCAGTGACGCAGCAACAGCTGGTGGAGACTGGACAGTCAGGATCTTCCTTATAAAGTGTTAAGAAATCAATAATGACGAAGTTTAAATGAATAATTGCTTATCATAAAAGTTATGATTTGTGAATATTATATTAAAATGCAAATACAGTACGTTCTTTTAGTTAAATGTCTCCAGAGATCCACATGAATGATGCACATGAATACAATTTTTTTTAATGATTTGAAATAAACAAAGATACTGCTGGAAAATAATGCCTCAATAGTAAATAAAGAGAAAGCAGCTCAAGTGGACATGATGTGTTTAACTTGATACTTGTGACTCTGCACATGTCAAGTCAAGTTCATCTATATAGCACATTTAAAATCAATTGCAGTTGCCCACATTTCTGTATAATAAAAGAAAAGATGTGAAATAACTTAGACTTGCATTGAATAAAATAAAAATGATGAGAATAAAACAATATAAGGACACTAAAAAGCACACAAAAACATGTGAACACCTAAATATGTTGAAAGAGGGGAAGCACTCTATTAGCCTCAACCAAGGAACAGCCAGGAGCAGCTGATCAGAAGAACTGAGGGATCGGGGAGTGGAAAGGGGGCAGAGAAGCTCAGATATGTAATTAGTGCTTTGAAAACAAATCAAAGCACCTTAAACTCCACCCTGTACTTAACCAGAAGCCATAATGCACAGATGCAAGTACAGGTGAGATGCTGTCTCTCTTCCAGGTACCAGTTATCAGTCCGGTGGCAGCATTCTGCTCCAGCTGCAGATGTGACAGGGACAACTGGCTGATGCCCAAAAAAAGGGCATTATGGTAATCAAGACAGAATTGAGTTAAGGCATTTGAGACAAACCTCAGGTCACTAACAGAGAAGAAGGGCTTACGTTTGTCAATGTTTCTAAGTTGGAAATGACAGCCTTTCACAACTGAGTGAATGTGTTAATATGAATTTCACAGCCGGTGCGGTGGTGCTACTTCTCTATAGCCTAGGTGAGACGAGAAGGTCAAAACAAGATCATATCCATCATACTGCAGACACTTATTTGCCGTCCAATGTTTTACATCCTGGAGACATGTCCTAGCTGTGATATGTTGCAATCTCAGGGTGTGTGGTGAATTATGGCTGATGGGGGGGGGTCACCACACAGACGGTCTCAGGGCATCAAACATCAGCTCCTCATGAACGCTGCTCAGAGTGGCCATCACTCTAAATGGAAGTGACACTCACACCACAGTCTTTTTTTCTGCAGGGTGAACTCAACATATATCACAGTAGTACAGGACAGAAGGTCACATGTGAAGCCAATGACAGGTCAAAATACTACTCATCACAGAGGTGAGTGAGGTGGTCGTCTACAGTGTTCTTATGTGAAAACTGCTTTTTTCATTTTTGCATCGGTCACATGTTAGAAACTTTGAAGAACCTCAGGAGCCTCTGACACTCACACTTGCATTCAGCGATTAGTACAGTTCAGTGCATGTCTGAAAGCAGCTAGACAGTAGCATATCCTTATATAACTTAAAAGGTCCTTTATGAACATCCATTCACATCAGATAATATCAATGATATCCCCAGACAGTGCAAGTAAAATCTGTGTGTTCAGATTGATGACTCTGAGAAACCATACCATTTTTGATGCAAAGTTCAGAGATAAGGGTTCTAAAGAGCTTTTATTGCCTCTGTGAGCCTTGTGTCACAGCCAAGCTACAATAACTCTCTATACTGCACTCTCAGCTCTACTTCCATCCACCTCACTGTGCAACCAGCCTACTTGTCAACTATGGGATCTAGAGCCTTGAGCCGCTCTGCTCCCCGCCTCTGGAACTCCTTCCACCAGACATTCATAATATTAACTCTCTCAATTTTCAAATAATGCCTCAAAAGCCATCTTTTTAAACTGGCATATTCAGTCTGATTGTTTGCCATTTACAACCTATATAATGATTTATTCACTGTTCATTTTATTGATCTTTTTGAGAAATTGTCACACACACAGCTGCCAAGGTAAATATGTAAACGGAGGGTAACATGTATATACTTTTGTTTTTTATCCGTCTGAGAGATAAACACCTTCTGCGATTGATTAACTAGTGAATACCTACCCCTCCCAAGACCTGTTTGTTCAGCTACTGGCAATAGAACATGCTCTGCACTGAAACACAATGGCTTTCTAGACAATATAGGCTTTCTAGTCAATCTACACCTCAGGACAGTTTTATCATTGAGGTCTGCACGGAGTTCCTTGGATTTCATTGCTGGATTTTTTCCCTGACATTCAGTATGAACTATGGGACCTGATACACACAGGTGTGTACTTATCTAAACTCACAGTGTAGTAGTAGACGCATATTGAGGACAATTCTAAAACCATTTTGGGTTAGAAAGTGTAAATTGATGATTAAAAGTTTCAGTTTTTTCAAATTATAATTACAAAAATAAAATCCACAACACAAGGTTTAGAGAAGTGAAAGAGTCTGGTGAGTTTTGAAGTTTTGGTGAGGCTTGAATGAATGCAAGTACGCAAGATATATTTATTGGGACAAATTAGCTGACTTTGAATTGCAAAGGCCAACGCCTTACGACACTATGTTTAAGAAAGTTTAAAAAATGCATTTGAAACATCTGAATTACGACTACTAGAGATACTAGGAAGCACTCCAGGAAATGTTTGTTTGTTTCGGAGTGATCCTGTAGACAGACACAAGCAAACAGCAATGAAAACATAAGCTCCTTGACAGAGGTAACGACACCTGCGAGTGGAAGGGAAGCTGTGTTGTTGAATCCAAGGACTCCACAAGTGTCAACAGAACAATAGCAGGCTCAGACACTTCCCCTGAATTTTCTCTTAAAAGATGAAATCACTAAGGTGTAAAATGGGGCCTTTGCTCCTCCACTCATCTGCTGAAAATATATTTAACTGCTTCTCTTTCTCTGGCATAAATCTCTGGATTGTATTGACTTATTGCTGGGCCATAAAATAACATCAATTATCACAATATAAATTACAGTAAAAGCAATTTAACAAGGTTTCCCTGTAAATTGATATATTGCTTATGCATTGTATAAACACAGTGATGGCACATCATTGTTCTACCTCATATTTGAAAAATGTTTTGGCAGTTTGTCAAGTGTTTGTCAATTCTCTGCTCATACGGAAGTTTGAAACCACAACCTTCAGCTGTATAATTATCAAAATCCACTGACATGACTTTTTTATCTCGACATCCTTTTTGGCCATAACATCCAGCCCTAGACTGACCCTTGCCACAGGCAGAAAGACTGGTTTCAAAGAGCCGCAGCAGGAGTGTCACTGGACTCTGATCCTGTTATAAAGCAGCAGCAGCTTCTAATCACATGCGTAGATTAATAAAAAAGGCCGTCTTACTCTGGAGGTAATCCAGCAGGCTGCCGTTCTTCATCAGCTCTGTGATGATGTAGATGGGCTCCTCCATGGTGCAGACTGCGTACAGCTGGATCAGCTTGGCATGCCGCAGTCTCTTCATGATCTGAGCCTCTCTCAGGAAGTCCTCGGGATCCATGGTACCTTGAAAAGGTGTTCTGTTATTTAGAGATCGTATAGCAACAGCTTGGGTGAGTTTGAACATTAAAGCAGTGGCAAGAGGAGTGAGTGAACCCTTATACTTTGCATTTATGAATTATGACTTCATGTACCAGGTTTGAGGGTCTTCACTGCGACTGCTGTGGTTTCGTTCCAAATGCCCTCGAAGACTTCACCAAACTGACCCGCTCCCAGCTTCCTGAGCAGCTTGATGGAGTTGCGATCAATTTCCCATTGGTCCACTGTGTTGTAGGACAAACCATGAGTCTGTGGAGCCTCCATCTACGGGGACAAGAAGACTTACCATTTAGCAAGATGACAATTTGTCTTCATACTGCAACAATAGGTGATGATGGAATTAAGAAACATCAACACTGTGCACTTTACCTTTTTGCATGGTTCACTCAGACGCACGCAGAGGCCATCAGCCTGTCTGGAGTAATGTTGCACCAACTCCTTAATTGTTTGAAAGCATCTTGTCTTCGACACAAAGTATTGACCATTCTCCATTTTTTTCAGCTTGTAGTGCTTCACCCTTCCACTGTCCAGCACTGAAAGACACATCAGCATCTAGTTTTAAACCCAAGACTCAAGTTACGCCCTGGTTTTTCCCCGATTTGAAAGCAGCTACCTGCTGCAGTTGTAAATGAGGTTGAAGAGAGTAATGAGACGGAACCAGGTCAGTAAAGTTTTGAGTCATTTAATCCAAACGGCGAATTGACAGTTTAGGTCAGGACTCATCATTGGCGTGTTTTGAACCGTCCATCTTTTACCTTTGAACCACTGTTATGTGTTGCTTGATGTGTGCTTTGGATTTTTGGTCCCGCCAAGACTCAAACATTGTTTCTTGACACTAAGTCACACATTTCACTCTAAGATGCCTTGGTAATCTTAGATGTCATTGTTCTTTTCAAACATTCATTGCCAGCCGAATCAGAATATCATGATAGACTGCTTCCCATGTCTTAATGTAAGTTGACTACTCTCTGGCTTCATTTTTGTTAATATCACTACAAACCTTTGCGGACTCTCATCCAGTTTTTTTCTAAGCACAGTTTCAACAATTCACGACTGTGAAACTTCTTAATAAGATCACAGGCTGTTCAAAAAGGGATTTCAGGATCTTTGGTATTTCAATTGTAGGGTTTAGAAGTGCTTTTCAATCTCACAATATGAAACCATTTAATTGTTGTTGAGTAACTTTGAACATTTTATGAAACATTCTAATTCTACAATAAATCATAAAATAATTGACTTTAAAATAAATTCTGTACTGGTAAGGCAGCAGTGAAAAACTTGACCAGGACTGTCCACCATGCTGTTAATTAACAGACCCATCACTATGTGTGAAAATTCACAATGTTCAACGTTCTTGCTGAATTACTATACAGAAGTCTATTTTAAATCTGACAGGAAAAGTTGCTAAGCCTGGCAACTTTCTGTATGGTCCTGATGTCAATATTGCAAAAATGAGGAGAAAAGTTATGATATTTTCAACACTCCTGCTCAGTATTTTCCAATCCAACTGTCTTCCTCACATGTGTTGACCTGATAATTCACCTACAAGAACAGTGAATCAACCTGTGTAATGCTGGTGAAATGAACTGGAGTGAGCTTGCAAAGAATTTGGCTGTAATGGAAAGAACAAGGTCGGTGAAAAGACAGATTAGACGAGAGAGAGAGATAAAGTTATCACACTGCTTTATAGCAGTAGAGGTTTCTATTTATTTAACTTGATGACCTTCAAACCATCAATCATGTAATTGAACGGACGGAACAAATGAATCACTGAGCGGGGCTTGCCTGGGGAGAAGCATGACTTCATGTGACAAAGATAACAACATGTCAGACAATGTCAGCTCATGCTATTAATGGTTACAGTCATGTGTATCAAAGATACTGTGAAGTGATACACTTTTACAACAATTTGTTCCAACCCTCCCACACCAACTAGGTGCTTCTGTCATCCACAGTTAATAATTATTCAGGTACATAAAAATCATTGGTCTGTTTTTGTTTGGCTCTGCTTTTATGTTTTATCTGCTTTTATCTATGAATTACAACGGAACTTGATGACAGGATGCAGTGTGGGTCAAGCACCCGTTCAATTTTGGTATGGATCAAAAAATGCAAATAATGCTGCACACACCAAGTTAGAGATCTTTTATGTTATTCTGAGAAGTGTAAAAAATGTTTGGTTTATTATGAAACTGTGGTGGATCAAATTAGAATATGATGGGCTGCCACAGTCTACATAATTAATGGCAAATACTGCTTTGAAATGGTGGGATCAGTCATTAGTTTTTACATTAGTTGTTTCTTAGCAGGGCTACAAAAACTACAGGGTGGAATATGATGAAACTTGGTGAAAGGATGCAGTATGGGTCAGGAATTTTTTTTCCCGCTGTCTTTAATACTAAAGTAGGACGTTTCGACGTTTTCACCAATTTTTTTGTTAGAGAAACACGTAATTGTTATCACAAAAGTTACGTGCCTACAATGTCTGTGTGACGGTCTGAACCCTGCTTGTTAGTTTGACAACAGATTGTGTCATTTCATTTTCTGGAGCATAACCCTGCTTTAATGTTCATATTTAGAGAGCACTGGTTTCAGCTGATGTTGCTGGTTTAGCTTCTAATCGTAGCTCACCTGAGAGGGAGAGCTCTCCTTTCTGGCTCTCACAGTTTCTGATGAGGAAGGCACCGTGCTGGTTCCCTCCAGCCAGCAGCATCTTCTCTGCATCCTGCCTCTTGGTGTCAGGAAAATACCACCTGGAAATCAGAAATTGGGCAAAGGAGGTGGTCAAGCAGAATTCCAGACATTTTTGAGTAAAAATACGAACTCAATGAACCCAACGGTTCCCACAATGAGCAAACACTTGTTACCGTGGAGAAAAAAACCCCTACATTTTAACAAACTTCAACAAACTTGATAACTTTAAGCTCCATTGTTGTCCTAAAACTATTACAACACATAAGTGAACCACATTGTTCTAATGGAGACATGTTCTTTATCTACCATGCACACAAACAGTTAGGCTTATTTATACTGAATCCTAAATACACCTTCTTGTACCCCGAAATTCTCAACACAGCCTGACATATTGATTGATCTGCTGCTTAAGTCCGAAACAAATAAACTACATTGATGGTCAAACGTTTTAGAGCACCGGCTTTGTTCAAGTTTTTATTGAAATATAAGCAATTCAAGCCCAGTGAATAACCCTAAACGGAACAAAGGTCTTGCAACAGTATAATTACCTCAAGTAAAAAAGTAGATTGTATCAGAAACTGTTTCCACAATGTCCCAACTACAGTTGTTTGTTACAAACCCTGTGTTTATACAAAGGCAGTGTTGGAACAAACTGTACTACACCCTCTGGAAGTGGTACTTTACACTTCTACAAGACTGGTTGATCAGAGGTTCATCCTACAGTAAGATAATGAGTCACGATGAAGAGCAGCACAGAATCTAGGCTCAAACCTCATGGAGCTGGTTTGGGAAGAACTGAACAGAAGCTGAGAGCAAAGTAAGCAACAAGTGTGCAACACATGAGAGAGAAACGTCCACAGTGACATTCCTCTCCCCCCTCTACCTCCTCCATTTCTCTCATTCTTCATGTTCTTACTCCAGAGCTGAAGGATCCAGATGTGACACTACTATTGAAATATTATTTATTTATTACCCTATTATTCCGAATCAGCATCAGCGCTGCCATCCTTGCTGTTATCATTAATAACATTATTATTACATGTATACGCATCACTATTGTTACACACATTTTCCTCCCCACTGTAGCCAAGTGTAATACTCAATAATCACTGTTCCCACAACGGTTGGGCTTCTCCATAAGATTGTATGGTCTCAATGTCAATAAGTAAAGAGTCATAACATTGAAAATGTACGCTGTGATTGGACGCTTTAACCCACGATTCTTAGATCAGTGTGTTATGCATCACATTTTTTCATTCTGCCTCATATCATGCCCATCCAGCGTGACTTAAAGGTCCAGTGTGTAAGATTTCGGTGAAAGGGATCTCATTTTAATGTAGAATAATCCTCATGATGTTTTCACTCGTTCGTTTCATCTAAATTGTATGAATTGTAGTTTTCTTTACCCCAGAAAAGGCCCTTTATATTTAAATACTTTATATTTATATCTAGGGGGTCCTCTCTACAGACGCCGCCATGTTTTTTACATTAGTTCAGACTGGAAAAACAAAAAAACCTTTTGAGTTTTTTATGAAAATTACAGGCTACCACAGGTTCTTTTTCATGTTTGGAAGGAGAGGGTGAGGGGTGTTCAGCTGCAACATGCAATTTCAACACTACTTATCACAAAATTCTACACACTGTACCTTTAAGTGAAACTATGACATAAGTCAACTACGATGGATCGAGGTAATGACGAACTATTTTTCCTTTAAAACACAAACAGGAAAAACCAGAGTTCAGCTGAGCAGAAACAGGTTGGACTGAGGTGCAGAGCAGGATGACAATGAACAACAGAAACAGGTTGGAAGTTTCTGTGACTTACTTTTTCCAACAGATCTGCATGTCACCAAAATAAAGTGCCCTTTTAATTGAAACAAATATCTATAAAAGTAATAGCACCCTCTACAGTTCTACTATATCAACATATCACGGTCTTGCACAAAATATTTTATCAACAACATGCAGCTTAAATTATATTTTCTTGCAGAAGCAGTCATTAAACCATCCATAAAGCAACAGTTCCCAGGACAGGCAGTTTTAGTGCACTGTTTATATTTCCTCCTGGGAATTGTTAACCTGTGAGCTTAGCCCTCCTGCTCACAGATAATTATTAACCAGTTTAACCCATGACTGAAAACATGACATTTTACAGTGGATTACGTCACTGGGTGGACAAAGACAGTTCTTACTTCACTTTATATTTGTTAGTATATTTGTTAGACTAGTGGTGGGACAAAATATCAATTGATCAACAAATGGCCGTCCTGAACCGAGATACGATTATAGATATGCTGGCACTAAATCTTGATATTAAGTATTTTGTCATAGTTTGGACTCTTGCCTGTTTATGGCTATTTTAAATTGGAACAATGGTGCATGTGGACACTGACAAGACACACAGTGTTTGTTAAGGACTGAACAGACACCGAGATGAGACTTTATGAGTATTTTGGACATGGTTTCATCTCAGTTTCTGTCAAACTCTCAGTGGATAAATACACACACCTCTCACTTCAACTCTTCAGGGGCATTTTCTATTCTTCTACAGTTAGACAGACTTTGTGATGTATCTTTACATGATTGTCTTGCAATATATCGATTATGGGAGAATGGCTTTATCGTGATATTACCGTAATCGTTGGCCATGTTTGAGATCAAGAGTTACCCTGCGATCCCCACCCTAGACGTTCCAAAGCTGTCCAGTATGTCAGATATAGGAAAAACAACCACACGCGACCATACTCACGGCTCTGCATCAATGCTCTCCACAGGGGCCACATAGTTGGCGGGGATGTATCCCTTTTTGGAGGCTGACAGTCCGGTGGTGGCTCTGGCAAACCACCAGTCACCAGTACTTTTGTCCAGAGCCTCTAAGATGTCTCCGGCTTGGAAGCTGAGGTCCTCCACGGTGCGAGCGGAGTAGTCGTACAGGGCGATGTAACGATCCCCAGTTTTGTCCGCCGGCCGCCAGCTCGTCCCCTCGCCGGCCGGCGCCGGGCTCCTCTCGGACACCGGGTTCGCACTCACCGCGCTGAGCGCGTCCTCAGACCCGCTCTGCCCCTCAGGCTGACCCGGCTTCTTGAAACACGCCAGGAAGCTCTGCCAGCACGAAGCAAATCTCTTCTTGACCTCCATGGCCGGTCAATCACTGCGGGTCATTCTGTGTCGGGAGTACAGCTGCAAGTGGTTTGGGGAGGAAATCCCTGGTGCGCGCTCATGATGGACGCTCCATTAAAAACAACAGGAGGTTTGTGAGTAATCCTAGAATCAGACAGCGAGCAGCAAGATGGACACACTGAGGCAGGTGGGAGGAAGTGTGTGTGAGTGTGTGTGTGTGTGTGTGTGTGTGTGTGAGAGTGCGTGTGGAGTCCATGGTTCACGTTCTTGCGGAAATCACCTGCACCTGCTCAGGAATGGGGAGCGGCCCACATCACACTCAGGTGTCCTGGCGGCCATGGTGGAGCATAGCACTGGTGTGTGTGTGTGTGTGTGTGTGTATGTGTGTGTGTGTGTGTGTGTGTGTGTGTGTGTTTCTATCATTGGCTACAGTTGGAGATTAAAAACCACTAATTGGAAACAAAAGCTGTGTCCCCAACTAAGAAACATTTAATTTGGAACCACAACATTGCAATACGTAAAAAAAGGCAAAAGTCTGTGTATATATAATAAAGAGTGAAGGAACTATGCATTCCATAAACCATTGCAAATGATCCCTTTCCAAAGACGTCCAGCGAGCTTCTTCTTTAATTTAACATAGTTGTTAGTTTAGTTCTGCAATATATTGAATGTTTAGTGTTTCATTTAGTGTATATAGTAAACTAATGTAGTAATGCTCGATCCAGTTGTAACTGATGTGATTTTCTGGTTATGGTATACATTTCCATGGTAACAGCAAGCTCCACTACTTAGAGACATAAGTATTGCACCTGAGGATTGAGGGAAGTGCAGTTCTTCTTCCTGACATTGCAAATGAAAGATCTTTTTCTTAAAACCCAGTTGCTATCATACATACTTGTGGCATATAACGTTTGTACACGTGTATACTGAAAAATTGATCAACATTTCACATGATAATTTACATTTATCTGTGAATATCATGCAGCATATCGGACATCTGTCTAATAATGCAGCCTCGTCCGGACGAGCAAGGGTGTGTTCGGATCACATGGAGATAAGAGACACTGTTTTACCTACACACTCATATCTCCGAGGTATTTCTGCAGATCTGAGTGTGCACATGCTTTTGAGATGGGTTGTTTGCTTGGCCTGTGTAAATGCGGGTTGTAGCTTTATTTGTGAAACTATAAAAGTCACATTCAGTAACTGAGTTGCAGCAAGTAAAGGCCTGCACAAAACCCCAAACTAGAAAAAAATATTTTTATTAGACAAATAACAGTTCTCAAGACACTCACAGACAGACAGATTTGTCTTTAAAAGAGATAGTAAAACAATGTGCAATTTATTTCCATTTGGTGTTCTTGCCCGAGGATGGGGAAGACTGGGAACGAAGCGCTGATTTTTTCTGGTTGGAGGACGACTGCTCTACTCCTCAGCCAAAGCCACCCCAGTAATTCAGATTAGTTGACCAACATGAAAACACAGCAGAAAACAAGAGGGATAACAATACTTAATAACAATGATGAAGAACAGGCAAGGTAATAAGAGGTGTCTATATTTATCTATTGTGTCTGTGTGTGTGTGTGTGTGTGTGTGTGTTTCTATCATTGGCTACAGTTGGAGATTAAAAACAACTAATTGGAAACAAAAGCTGTGTCCCCAACTAAGAATCATTTCATATCGAACAACAACATTGCAATACATAAAAAAGGCAAAAGTCTGTGTATATATAATTAAGAGTGAAGGAACTATGCATTCCATAAACCATTGCAAATGATCCCTTTCCAAAGACGTCCAGCGAGCTTCTTCTTTAATTTAACATAGTTGTTAGTTTAGTTTTGCAATATATTGAATGTTTTGTGTTTCATATAGTGTATATAGTAAACTAATGTAGTCCGTTTTAGTGTGCGTCCCTAATATGGGGGTGTCCTGTGGCTGAGGGGTAGAGCGGTCGTCCTCCAACCAGAATTCGGCAGTTCAATCCAAGTCTTTCCCATCTGCATGCCGAATTGCCCCTCATAGAAACAAGTGCTGCTAATAGATGCCCTGTACCTAATGTCCTGTGTGAATGGCAAACTGTACTGTACAGGGTGATCATCAAGGCTAGAAAAGCTCTATAGAAATACCATCCATTTACCATTAATCACTATATAGACCTCTACATAGAAGGGTATTAATACCAGGTGCAAATGTAATCCCATTTCACAACCAAAAAAGATTGTACACCTTGTGCACAGCATATTAGGTGCAGGGGATTATCAGGGGCCCAGTGGCTCATGCTTGCCTCCCAAAAGTTTGATCCGGCCCTGAAAAATCCCACTGCGCTTTCGAAATCCCCTCTGCGCATATGTACTGAGCATTACAGTTTCGTTTCACACCCGGAAGCACTATCGCCTCTCTACCGCCTCCTCCTGGCGCACACGAGCCTCAGCTCCTGCCTCCCCTCGGCCAACTTAACGACGATCGCCGGTCAGTGGTGACCGATGCGGGCTGAAGGAGAGCTGGCTCCGGAGGACTCTTCCCGTGCACCGTGAGCGAGGACTGAGCGCGTGCACAGCGCAGCCCCATCCCCTGACTCAGGCGGTGACATTGACTCACAGTCGTGTGGCGCTGCCGTGCACGAGTGCATGTGTGTGCACTAGCGTGTCCCACAGCTCCAGCCACGATGAGCGAATACTTCAGCCTGTCGGACTGCGATGTGATCGGCTTCGACCTGGACCACACGCTCTGCCGCTACCATCTGAAGGAGACCTCCAGGGTGAGTGTGCGTGAGCGTGCGTGAGCGTGCGTTATAGCGACAGTCATGCGGTGGCCGTGGCGCTTCGATCCGCCGCAACACATCAGAATTAAAAATAGCTCCGAGTTGTCGATAGGCTCAGCGGCCGCTCGTCACCTCTGTGGCCAGTCGTGAGCAGACACGGGTAGCAACGCGCGTTGTTGTGGGTCAGTCGGTGGTTGCATGTAGACAGATTGTGTGTGTGTGTGTGTGTGTGTGTGTGTGTGTGTGTGTGTGTGTGTCTAGCCTCTGCAGTAGAGGAATAATCTTCCCCTGTATTCACACACACACACACACACAGGCAGTAAACACATCTGAGGAAATATAAGAATACACAACATATTTGTTTGATATTTTGTTTTACATAGTCTTTCTGATGCACACACACGAACACACACAAAAATGAAATAGTGTGTGAAAAGTATGGGCACGCATCCCATGCTATACACATGCATATTTGAATGTACACCCACTCACTCACAGACTGTGTGTGTGTGTGTGTATTCATTTTCGTTACCTCTTTGGGACCTTTTCCAGTATAAACACTGATCTCGTCAGGACCAGTGCACCTCATGGGAACCAAAGCCTGGGCTGTGTTCAGTCCATTTTGTTTAGGAACCTTCCTCTATATGTGAGCATTTCAGCGGCCGCCATAATAAGAGCTGGTTAAATTCTCTTAGTTATAAGGAAAGGGGCTTCAGTGCTTCCTAACGTATCATCTTTAGCAGAGGAAACATGGGACCATCCTTTATGAAAGGAAAGGAGAAAATACCGTCCCACAATTCTTTGCAGCCGCAACATTTACAGCGACACAGCATCGTAGTTGCACTTGGACACACCCACCTTAATATAAAGTAGAATGAACGGCTGTTTAATTCTCACGATCGAGAACTGATGTGAATCCTCACATCTGTCTGAGCTCCTGATTTCGTCTCTGTCACATCTGTCCAGTAAAACAAACATACCGAACGTCACATAGTTCACAAAATTATCATTAGAACTAAATACAAAAGTCATTTCAATCCCCTGACTCCACTTGTATAAGGTTTTCTCCTCGTATATTCCAACATTATTTATTATTTTCATCATTTTCAATTACATCTGTTTTTATTGTTATATCCTGCAGGTAACTGATGATTAAATGTTTCCTCTGTATGAACTGAAAACACAATTTATCAGGACGTGTCGTTCCTTTTAAATAGGAAACAGTCTGCAGCACAGAGCACTGTACATTTTGTCCGTATCTTTTTTTATAAATAAAGTTTTTTGAAAAACCTGACGTATTCCGTCGGGCTCAAGGAATAGTGGTCAGGAAAGGACATGATTAGTGGTTAGGGATGATGATTTGGTCTTTCTGAATGCAGCACTAGTCCTAATTAGGCACAACATCATTTCTGAGCTCCTGGTTAAGATTAGTGTTAGGATGTGAATTGTGGTTGAGTTTAAGTTAGTTAGTTTTAAACTGGTCGTGGTTAAGGTTCGGCATAAGGTTGTGGTTGCAGTTTACTAATAAGGATAGCCGTGCAAACTTGATTCTCCTTCAGTTTTTATTGCTACCGTTTTGTTTGTTGTTTTTTTTCCCTTGCATGCAGCTCTTCTGTTTAATTAACCGCATTATTTACTGAATATATATTTGTGACTTACTGATATTAAAATCAACACGATGTCTAATCTATTTCTCACTAGATGAGTATTCTCATGCCATCAGTGTCATGAAGGGTCCATGTAGTTGTGAGATAATGAAAATAACAAAACTTCTACAATCTTTAAAAAGTCAGTGTTTTTATTTATTATTGTTTTTGGGGGACTTCATAACCTACAGTAGCCTAATGAGACTGTTCACTGGCAGCGTAGCACCTTTATTACAGTCAATCAAACCCACAATCACTCTACTATACTGTTCACTTTATTTCTAATTTTAATCAAATTCTTATTATGATTGTTGATATGATTGTTGTCATAGAAACGGCTGTTTTTATATTTGAATTCTTGGTTGCAGTTTTTATATATTTGTCATGGATCAATGTTCAGTCCTCACTTGGTTTGCCTGGTTCACTAAGTTCAGCTGGTTATTACTTAGCTCTCTGCTACCGATTAGCTTTGTTCACTTCACTGTCTGGACGCAATTTGCTTTTTAATTTCTCTGACCTCGACGAAAGAATTACAGAGAAACATGCAGTTTGAATTCGTGGCCGCTCTCCTGCAGGAGGAGAAGAGGAGTGAAATCTGCAGGGGTTTGGATGGAAATGAGCCAGTCGTGTTCAAAATAAAGCTCACAAAGATGAAGAAGCACCAACCTGCTCAAACCAAGACGGTCGAAGATGCGGCCTTCTCTGAAAAGCAGCCACAGGTGGATGTCAAGGTTGATGCTGCATCCACCCAGAGTCCTGAGGAGGAGACGCAGCTGATCACCAGCCAGACTGACCCCACTCTCAGTCTCCTGCAGGAGCAGAAGAGGAGTGACATCTTCCAGTGTTTTGATGATAAGGGGCCAGTCGTGTTCAAAATAAAGCTCAAAAAGATGAAGAAGCGCAGACTTCTCAAACCAAGCCGGTCGTAGGAGCTGCCACAGCTGGAAGTCGCTGCTGATGTTTCATCCACTCAGAACACTGAGGAGGAGACGCAGCCAATCAGCAACCAGACTGACGCCACTTCTTCACCTCATGTGAAAACCTCAGTCACAGAGGAGAAGATGGAGACACTGTCCACGATCATTATTGACAGTTATCTGGTCCCTGGCAGACACCAGGAAAACTTTGGCAGAGCAAACGAGTCACCTCCTGCTCCACTCCCTGCTCCCCCCCACACCCTAATCCTCCCCCACTCCTGTCCTCCTCCTACCCAACCCTTTTGTGTTTATTCTGTGTTCTTGTTCAAAGTTTATATTGATTTA